ACTTTTTGACTTGAATAATATGCACACAAGGAAGTGAAAGTGTAGATTTAATTATCAATGAAAGCTGAAAGTATGAATTAGTGTCATGTAAGTAGGTGCCTATGATAGCAAGAATCTTATGTTGATAATTATTGCATAGTAATGGCAATTCTGGAAGAGTCAAAGGTGGGTTTTAGGAAAAATATGACCCATTCTGAATGAATGCTATCAAGGGGGAAAATTATTTTGTAATGGACATGAATGGTGGTGTGAAAATGAGACAAGAGAGTACAGAAAAAGTGACTGGGCTGTTCAGAAACCAAAAATGAATTCTGTTTAGAAAAATATTATCTTTTCATTACCCGTAGTAATAATCAGGCACATTGTATCTGTGTTTGAGAGTTCGAAGAATGCTATTGTTCTATTTATATAAAGGGAAACATAGCTGGGATTTGAAAAAAATATAGCCCATTTGAGGTTAGTCTGGGAAAATGGCAAGATTTTAACTGAAATGATATAAAAGGTAGCGATAAACAAAATTGAGAAGTATAATTATTTGCAGAGCATATTTTGCTTTTTAGTGGTTACTGAAAATTAAGTTTGTTTCTTTTTTCTAGAAAAGCTATATTATGAAGAGAACAGACTTTATAGACAGTTTGTATGAACATGGATTGGGAAGTTAATTGCTCAAAGGAGGGATAATATGATTGAAATAAAGCATTTGTGAGAATTGAATGATTAGTAAATGACTAAACATGAGCACAGTAAAACAGTATGTGATGTTCTCTTCTCTATTATGTAAGGCATGCTTAAAGTGACAAAAGATACTATGTTGACCAATCACTTGGTTTGCAACAAAACATGGCACTGTACGATGTGACAAGGTTCTATGAAAAATGAATAAAAAATTGAAGAGATTGGGTATGCTAAGCTTAGAAAGGATTGATGGAAGAGGCAAGAGCTGCCATCAAAAATCTGAATAGCTGGCAAAATTATTCAGTTCAAGAAGACAAAACAAGAAATAATGGGGTTTAGGTGCAAGGAAGTTTCTTAATGTTAAGAGTTGTTTAGTCGTAGATCATTCTACTCAGAAGGTAGTGAATTCTTCACTAGGGCTGTTTAAACAAAGGCTTGAATGTTCAACTGTCAAAAACATATTCCCATAGAGAACAGGAGGCTGGATTAGATGAATTTCCACAATCCCTTCCAACATTTATATTCTATGATTCTAACAAATAAGGATTTGAAAACTGAAGTATCAAATCCCAAAGTAGTTCTGTTTGTTGTGGAAAATTGACAAATTTGTTCCATATTATACATAAAGGTTAAAAGGTAAAAATAAACTACAATACTGAATTGGTATGCCTTGGCTGAATATTAATAAAAAGATGAGAAAGTGGATGAAAATTACAGTGGATAAGTAGTAGATCCTGTGGCGATTGTTGCAAGAAATGAATATTTGTTCAAAGAACAAAAAATGGCTTATATATTTCTACAGTGAATATGCATAGTTAAACAAGATAGTTAAAAATTTATGGGTGCTGACTTCCGTTTTGACGCCACGGCATGATGGGCGCAGGAAGATGGGGCTCCGCCTTCCGTGTTCGATTTCGCCCCACTGAGGACCTAAAAAAGGTCAAAAGTCACCCCGAAGAGGCAACGGAGGAGACCTTCGTTGATTGTAGGAGGGCGGCAGCCCTTCTGTTTGATCTGAGGAAGCCCTCCAAACTGGCGGGGGAAAGCCTGGCTACATTTGTGTGGCCAGTCAGAAGTTGCTGACAACTGAAGAAAATAAGCATTAACTAGTAACTTTGGAGCAACGTGGATGGAACTAGGTGAGACCCTATCTTCTATGACTTTAAGACTTTTTCCTGGGAAAAAACCGCCCAATGCAAAGAATCCTTCCCAATGAGAGGAAAGGGGAATTTCCACCCCATTCCCTCAGGAAAAGAAAAGCAGCAAATTAATTGCTTGGGGGAAAACAGAGAAAATTACAAGATTAATTTGAAAGCAATACACATATATAACTTTGAAATTTGGGGACTAAAAGTGCTGTTGAGATTTTTTTTAAAAAATCACTAAAAAAGCTTGTAATATAAATTTGGATGTAAAAAGCTGGAAGACAGTGTCAACATCTAGTGGTGAACTACAGCACAATTTATTATGCCTAAAGGAAACTTGGCTGGAAGCCCAGACTCAGATAAGACTCTTATTGTTTTCAGAAACTTTCACTTTTGAAGACTGCAGCTGGGAAAAGAGGGGGGGGACCTCTTGGGCTGCTCATCTGTGTGGCAGAGAGAATAAACTATTTTGAAACTGGCCTGCCTGGACTATGTATATAAATACTAATTGACTTTTAGAGATGTGTCATGGAGCTATTTCCCTATAGAAGAAACATGCATTATTGATTGAGATGATGGAATATTTTGGACTATAAATCTTTGATTGATGAACAATTTTTAATTTTCTCTCTGGAAAGAAAGGATGTTTTTCATTGGGCAGAAAAAAATGAAAAATTTGAATTTTACTTATATTTGCTGAGGGGAGACTTAAGGACGGACTGATAGGCTGGCTGGATAATTAGGAATTCAAATGAATAATTGACTGAAACTTTTTAAATCCCTAAATAGATTGGACTATAAAGTCTACAAACAAAAACAAAATGGATGTTCCATACTTAGCTTCAAATGGTAAAAAACCAGCTGTAACATCTGTCCCCGAAGTCCCCAGCTTGACATACCAACAGAAAATGTTGATGAATTTCAGAAAGAAATTCTTTCTATGTTAAAATCAATACAAGAGACAATTGCTTTAGCTCATAAGACTAAAAATAATACAAAGGAGATAAAAGAACAATTCTTTAAACTAAATCTACAAACTCAGAAAATGACTACAAAGAAGGAACTAGCAACCCAGAAAATCATAGGAAGCAAATCCAAGGATGGAGGACCTAAAGAAAGGAACTAACAGACAGACTCAGACAAATGAAGAATTAGAAGACGTAGCAATAATATCAGAAATGGAAAAGATATCTTACCTGTCAAGATCTCAGAACACACTTTTGAGAATAAGAAGAGCTGATTGAATGGAAGATAGATCTGTTAGAATTGTGGGAAACTGGAGGAGGGAGGCTGTTTAATGAATATCAATGGGCTGAGCGTCCTTCCAAAAATACTTTAATCAAATTAAAGTATTTTCTTATTCCAAACAATATACACAAAAATAGAGAAAGAATTACTTGATGATTCAAATGCATCGACTTGGAAAGTTAGTTGGCAAAGAAAGCTAGAGTAAGACTGAAGAAAATAGAGGTTTTGACCCATTAGATGGGATATTATACTATCAATCAGATGTTTGAACATGGCTAAAAATAGATAATTGTTAGAAATAGAAGTATTATTATAACTAGAAAGATAGGGTTTATAACTAGAATATTATATTTTGGTATGAGAAGGGAAATATGAAAATGCTATGAGGGTTTGAATAAGGGAAGCTTTTGGTTACCCAAATATAACATTATGAGAAGTTATAAGTGATAAATTTTGAACGCTGATGGGAAATTATTTTTTTTAAAAAGGCGGGAAAAACAGGATATTAATTGAACAAATGATTAGGTGCAAATGCAATTAAAATATATTTTGATAGAAAAGATATTTTAAACCGACATTATTGATATTATTAAGAAAATGTAACAAAGATGTTGATATTCAATTGTATATGTATTAACAATAAGAATTGTATTTGCCTAATGTGGGAAAATGTGTACTACTGGAAGAAGAGAGAAAGCATTGGATGGTGTAATATTGGGCCTACATTGAAGAAGTTAATATGTACTACTGAATTACTAATGGACCAAGACAACACATTGTTTATTAAGTACTTATGATTGTAAAACTAGAAAATTAATATTTATATACAAAAATAATTTATGGGTGCTGAATGTTGAAAATTGAATATAATGATCAGCCTAAAATAAGTATGTTGACATATGATTGATCATATATAAAGAATAAATGAGTAAATTAACAAATATACAAAGGAAAAGTTAATGTGTTAATGGTTTGAAAAAAATGGGAAGATAAGAAATTCATAGTTGTAATCCTAGAGGTTACTCAGAAATAAGCCACATTAATTATAATGCAGTCTCAGGTAAACTAATATAAACCTACATTAGTTTAGCCTTGTAGTCAAAATCAAATAAATTACAATAGCATTAACCTTGAAAATAAACATGATGGATACATAGATATGTAGTTAAAACATGTTTTGCTACCATGCTTTTAAAATTATTTTCTAGTATTTGGTTGAATGTTCTTTAAGCACAATTAAGCATGTGCCATCAAATGTTACAGATATGGATACTATTTAGGTTTGGTTGGGTAATGGAGATTTTATTATATGAATAATTTTGTTTTTAAATTGAATTGTTTTTTCTACTGCAAGGGAGAACAATTATAAAGAGGCAACAAAGTACAGAATTTTAACATATTGCATTGAGAAATAAAAAAATTTGTTTCAGAGGAAATTTTAAATTTATACACAACTAGCTGTACCCAGCCACGCGTTGCTGTGGCTCAGTCTGGTAAAAGCGTGTGTTGCTTTTATGTCCAACAGATGGCGCTGTTTTTCAAAAAAAGCATGTTTTTACCTGTCACAGGTGTGACATCTATATAATATATGTATATAAAAACACACACGTATTCGAATGCAACATTGTGTCAAAATTTCAAAGCAATCAGTGAAGAACTTTCGGAGATTTAAGATTTTGAACAAACGAACATTTACATTTTTATTTATATATATAAGATAAGATAGAGATATGTAGAAATCTATAGCTTTTGACCAATGTGGACGGTAAAAAGAAATACTGAATATTCTTTCCATTAGATTTGTAAAGAAACTTAAACAGACACTAAACATCTTTCCATATTTTTATTTCATACAAAATGGTCATTTTAGTTTCTGTAAATAACTAAAAATAATGCACCTCCCTCAAAGCAAATAAAAAAATATTAACATATCTACCATTGAGGTAGAATGTTTAATTTTATAGGTTGTCTGAAAATATATTCTGTCCTAAGGAGAATTGCGAATGTTAGGCGCTGTAGATGGTGGGGGCAGTGGAGGTGGGGGTGGTGGGGGTAAAGACAACATAGACAATAAAGGCTCATAGGTGTTCTGAGGACATGTAGGAGGCCACCCCCAATCTACTGGTGGGGGTGGGGGTGGAAAATTTGTATTATTACCAACAGTTTCAAAAGATGGAGGTGGGAAGGAATACTGATGTCTTCTCATACTTTCCAGCCTCTGTTGCTGACAAAAAGTAGGTGCTTTCTGCAAGTGTGCATAGTCAGAGGAGTAATACGGTGGAGTTATATTGTGCTGTCTATAGGGACGTGGAAAAGGAGTTACAGGAGGAGATCTGCCCCACGAAAACCTGGTTGTAGGTTGTCCTCTACAATATCCACCTGAATATTCTGAAGGAGGTTGTCGTCTGGACTGATAATTTGGCCCATTATCCTCTACAGAAGCAAATAAAAATCGGGAGAGATTAGCATCATTTAGTAGTTTATGAATATTATAAAAACCATGCTATGTTTTTCCCAAGACTACACTAATAGTTAATGAACTAAACTGAAGTTCCATAACTCTTGGCATACTATATAACAGTCATCAAATTGTGTACTATTTTTTTTATTTTTTATACATTTTTATTTAAAATGCGTATGCTTTTTAAGATTATGTAGTACAACTGAGTTGCCTAATGGAAAACACTGAGGTAACATCTAATTATTTGAGTTATGGACTGCACAGCAAAGGAATGAAGGAAAATTTAAGATCTGTTGTCAATTTAGATAAACTAAGTATAAACCTTGAAAGAGGCAACTATGAATAGTTCAAAATTAGTATTATTTTATCAACCATATATTCTTCATAAATATAAAACCTGCAGATTTACAATTACAAATGCATTTACACTTTTAATACATGATTATCCATGCCCTACTTTCCAAACATTCAGCATCACATAAGTAAAATTATTGATCTGCTATTTTGACATACAAAGGTAGCATTATTTTTCTTAGTAAATACCAATAATTATTAATCAACATTCTTTTGCAACCCACTATTTCTATTTACTTGATGCCTGAACAGCTGAAGAGATCTGTTCTCCCACTTTTTAAAAAGGGTAATTCTTATAAATATAAAAATACTAAATTTGAAAGGCTTATATATAAAGTCAAAAGTGTGGAATGTATTGAATCAACTTTAAACAAATAATATGTAAAATTGGACTTCTGGGTTGTTTAAATGTCTATTCAATATTCCAGGACAGCAGCTACTTACTGCTATCATTTTGCTGTGATCTGAGCTTCTTTCTTTTTATATTCTGAGATTTCTTGTGTAATTTTGCTGCTTTTTCTTTTTCATCATCACTGAAATCTAAAGCCTAGAAAAAAATAAAATAAAAAACTGGAAGGTTAAAAAAAGGTAAATTTTATAGCAATTCCACAATAGCTAGTCATTTAAGCATACATCTAAGAAGACTGCAATTCTTGGATTTAATTCAAAAAACATGCTTCAGTACAAATAAACACACAAGGATAGTACTTCTTTGCAATTCTGTAAGAGCATGTATGCTCTTAAAAGTTGCAAAGACATTGTTTGCACTCCTACTCTCCCCAATGGCCACTTTTCAATTATGAAAGAATTCAGAGATTAAATGACAGAAAATCATTTAATCACTGGATCACCTAGAATACTGGACCTGCGTGGCTTGGAGGAATTTAGAATATTCTGTTCCTGGATCTGCAGGTTTGCATATCCCTATTCATCATATTGGTAGAATGGAACTTCTGGAAACTTTCAATCTCTTCTCAGGAACCCCCCACAAAACCTACCGGTGGCAGATCTGGTTCCTTTTGAATATACAAGCTTTGGCATAAAAAAAGAAAGAGACAATCCTCAAAAAATTGTGCCTCGCATCCCTAAATTTCTAATGAAAGTTACATCTCCATTTTGGGCTTTGGAAAAGGGATTTTTTTTTTTATAATAGTGAGATATGAGTGGGAAATGCATCATCAACTCTCTGACTTGTTATTAAAAACAAATGAACTTTTAAAGAAGTTAAGCTGAAGTTATCACTTCAGGAATAAAATATAAGTTTCTCCAGGAGGCGGAATTAATTTTCCCAAATGAATGTTACTTGTTAAGTAATATTCTCTGCATATACTGTATTATTCTTTTCAAAAGAAAGGAAGTACATTTTGAATTGGAAAAGCTAAAGTGCAAAATCAGTATGCAAAGGATATCCTTGCCTCAAGAGGTGGCTCTTCATCATTCTTCCAAGATGCATCTGATCCCTTTTCTCTAGAACACAAAAGGGTGTTGTTGTTTTTTGTAAAGAACAAAAGATAAATCCCTATGAGTACACACCACAATATTAGCATTATTTGAAAGTTAATATTTTCTTCTTTAAAATAAAACTAAGCCATGGTGCTTCACAAGAAAAATGGTAAAATCTTTTGAAAAGTTACCAGACAGCCTTCCTCAACGGGAAGACCGATGCTTTTCTGACTATAGTGGTCACAACAATCATAATTGCAAGTTACTATGACTAAAGAAGATTATATTCAAAAATGTATGGTGGATAGCAAGTAGAGGAAGACTGCTCTAGTGGGCCTTTGCAGAGAATCCAGTTTATAACCAAAATTCTAAATACAGGATCAGGTTATGAAATATATGAAGAAACATATCAATCTTAACTCTCAATTTTTGAGATCTAATTAAACATGCAGAGATAGATTATTAGGATTAGGTCATTAGGGCCTAAATAGGAGGAAGAAGGTGTGTTGGATATGTTTGCCACCTTCAGTTATTTTAAAAAATAACAAAGGTGAGATAAGTCTACATAAAATAAAAAATAAAAATATAAATAAATTAGACACCGCTAAAAAGAGTTCAGAAATTTTTTACTGTTTAAATTATTTGTGTGTGTGCATGTATATTTCAAACTTTGAAAGCCAATTTAAGGCAACCTTGGCTCTTTTATGACTCGTGGACTTCAACCCCCAGAATTCCTGAGCCAGCATGGCTCAGCTTGGAAACCTCTCCCTTTCCCCTCAGCATGGCTGGCTCAGGAATTCTGGGAGTTGAAGTCCACGAGTCATAAAAGAGCCAAGGTTGCCTACCCCTAGTCTAGTGGTTAAGGCACCAGATTAGAAATCAGGAAACTGTGGTTTCTAGTTTTGCCTGAAGCATGAAAACTGGCTGGGTAACTTTGAGGTAATCACTCTCTCAGCCCACAACATCACATATCAAACAACAAGGCAGTTGGTCAATTCCTGCCCCAACCAATAGATCAACACTTGGTTGATCTGAAAAAAGCAGATCTTGCACTTGCAAAAAAACATTAGGCACAAAAAATGTATATGTCGAACTTACTGTTTCAATTTTTCTGGAAATATATACTGAGTGAAGCTTTCCACAGCCGGAGCAAAACATACTGCATCTTTTATTTTAATATCTTTAGACTGAATGTGCTCAGGACTATTAAACTGTACTACATAAAAGGGATGTGACACTGGGCCAAATATCTCAAAGATCTGCAAGACAACAAATGTTATTACTTCATAAAAACAAGTTCTGTAATTACTTGATTACATTTAACAAGGAAAACTAATGGGGAAGTGAAAATACTATAAAAATATTTTTCTAAGCTCTGAAATTCAGCTTCAAATTTAACTGCTTATAACTATCCCAAAAGCAATTTCAATATTATTTATTAATAGAGGGAATATATACAGCTCGTAGTCTTGAACTGTGGAGTCCTCGGTGTTCTCTGAGCTTATCTGTTTACTTGTAGATGTTTCCTTACCCAGCTAGGTAAATCTTCTGTTCTAACACTGTTTTTAAGGAATGCCAGAATTTCCAAATAAGGAAATTGCAGAATATCACAGAAAATACAGGTTTCAGAATCATATAACAATGTCTAATTCAAGTTCGAATGCTAAACTAATTAAAACATGCTTTAAAAGAACATTACACTGATTTCTTTTTTTAAAAAAATCTTAAATTTTAATATATCATGCTGAATTCAAACTTCTCAACAATTTTGTGAACTGGTAATTATCTATATACTAGTAATTATCTACATACTACTAAAAATCTTGGTCTGTACCCCTTAACTGGGCAAAACAATGCCAAGGGTTGTCTAGTCAATAATAAAAGTTAAGATAATTTCCACCTCAATTGATTTCTAATCTTGTTGCTTGTTAATTGACATAAAAAGCATTTATCTTATTTTTTATTTAACAATTGGATTAATTTTAGGCGCATGGTAGCAGTTTTAGGATCATTTTAGGAAAATTTAGCAACTCAACTGTTTATGTTTAATTTTTTTACACCCACTATTCTATTTATTTGTGTTTTATATGTTTTTCAAGAATATTAAGAAAGGCAAGTCTTATACAAATAAGTATACTATTGAAAAGTTAAATAAGCCGTATCAACAGATGTACTGTATCATAAAAATATACTCTTAATTTTTTCTAACATGTGCTTTGCAAACCAGGTAACATACAGTATTTTCCTAAAGAAACCTACTATTGTAATGTCTCAAAAATGTCTTTATGCTGGTAATACTTTTATGGTTGCTAAAACATTGTTTAATGCAGTGTTTCTCAACCTTGACAATTTTAAGGCATGTGGACTTCAACTCCCAGAATTCTACAGCCAGCAATGCTGGCTGTGGAATTCTGGGAGTTGAAGTCCACATGCCTTAAAATTGTCAAGGTTGAGAAACACTGGTTTAATGGCATTAGCAATACATCCAAATAATTAAAAAAATATTTACCTTTCCTAATGAATGACGATCTTCCTTGAAAAGTACTGTATTTTCATTCACTGGAGGAAGTCCCTTCTCTGACTCAATTATTACTAAAAAAAACAAAAAAACAACCTGAACATTTTGCTAAATTCTTCCAAAAAGAGGGTAAAGTGTACTTTATTTCATTGTAACTTTCCACTCTATAATTGGGGATTTTCACGTAGACAGAGTAAGGGAGAAGGGAGAAAAATGAGCATTCTTAGCCATAACAATTGCCCCTGCAGTTATACTCAAGGTCAATGTGAGTAAAGAATTTTGGCCGGCAAGAGGGTGGGGGAGAAAAGCCCCCATTTATTTGTAATCAGAGAATGTGATGCATGACAGCTTGGTTTGGGATGGGAATTACAACTTGTAACTTTGTTTCAGGGAGGAAACTTTCAGTTTTGGGTTCAACCATATAAGGGCCAATATTTTATTTCCTAATAAAACGTTCTTTACGGAAGATTTTCTTGCCTTGAAGTTCTTTTAACTGGTTTCATCTATTGGAACCATGACATACTGTACTACTTTCATTCTTATTATATAAACCTCATAGACTTATTGAAAACAAAGGCTCTAAATTGTTATACCTGCAATGATAGATAACTTATTAAGTTACAGTTTCAAAAAGAACTAGATTTATTTAAATTCCAACTTTTCTATTTCAATTTGCAAATGGAACTGATTTAAAACATGTTAGCTATGTATAGCATTAATGTAGACTTACAATTTATATTATAATATTCACTGGTTGTAATTCAGATATTACAGAAGAAAAAGCAAGAGTCATCTACAACATACAGTATAAAGGCTGCAACAGCTACTATATAGGACGGGCAGGCAAAAGACTAGCAGAGTGCATCCATGAACACCCTGAAAGCTCTTTAATTTCACAACACAGACTCAACTGTAGTTTCAACTGAGAAACCGTGGGCATCACGTAGGTGAAGCTAAATTCAAAAGCTCTAGGAAATTCCTAGAAATTTGCCATTCAAGCCAATAAGCAATAAAAATAATAAAGACAAGATTAAAAGTCTAATAAAATAAATATGTAAATAAAATATACATCAGCTATTCATTTCCAACTTCCATATTCTGGGAGGGGTGAGAGGGATAAATTAGGTCCAGATATTAAACATGAATTCATGTATGCATATATGTATGAAATAATTTAGAAAGAGACATGTGCAAGACAGTAAGGTGAACCTGATCTTTTTATACACTTAGCTAAATATTTGCCTCTGTAAAACTGAATGCTTAGAAAAATGTTATATTAATTACTGTGACTGATCTTACATTACAAATCCATTAACTAAAGAAGTATCTAACAGAAATAAGGAGAAACTAAAGGGATGACATACTAGAGGAATGTAAAATGTTTCAAACATATGTAACAAAAAAAATGTACTTTTGAGTTTCTTGAGTTTTATGGCTGCGGTTGGGCTGTTATTTTTGTGACTACTCACTGGGTTGCTTGTTTTCAAATTTATTATATATTGTACAACATAGACTAGAGAAAAAGGGGTAATGTGGCAACAGAATTTTGAAAGCAGCAATTAAGCACATGGGAGACAGAAAAATATTTAAATCTTCCAGGTTGCCTGTTAAGTTACTGCTGTTTATTAACAATTATTTGCAATGAAAAGGTCAAATTGAACAATGGTTTATTTTGCAAACAACTTTGCAAATTTAATTTAAAGACATGCCTGCACAACACTTGCAAATGTTAATGCTGTTGAGACAGTATAAATGCAAAACAAATACTATTACTAATAAAGAACACTTGTAGTTCAGGGTTGAAATGATGGGTCCTTAGTGCTCGCTGAGCTTTTTCTTGCAGTTGTTGACTAGCATTGACAATGTTACCTAGTTTGGGTAATGAAACTTATGCAACAAAACAACCAAGCTAAGACAGCATCAAAGACCTCTCAAATAATATTACTAATTTTGAGCTAGTTTGGTTAGGTGATTGAGAGGCCAGTCTAGAAACCAAGAGACTGTGAGTTCCAGTCCTGCCTTAGGCATGAAAGCCAGGTGGGTAACTTTGGGCTAGTCACTCGCTCAGCCCAACCTATGAGGGCTGTTATTAGGAAAATAGGAGGAGAAAGTATTATGTATGTTCACCACCTTGAGTTATTTATAAAGTAATAAAGGTGGGATTAAAAAATATAATAGATTGAATAATTAATTTTGCTTGGACTGATTTATCAAACTTTGGTATGTACAAGTATTCTCTACTTGCTGCTATGCCCTGCTGATGTTGAACTTTCAGAATGCATTTAAAATAGATGAGATGCTATGTTAGTTGTGGGAATTATTGTTAAATGTTGTTCATGATTGCTCTTTTGACCTGACAGGGAGTTTCTGGATTTTCCTTTAGGAGGGGGAGGGACTATAAAATATGTTACTGAAAATCAAATATTTTGTGGGGATGCAAAATAATCACAAAGAGCCACAAATTGCTCACTCTTGTATTAAACAATTAAATCCTCCATACATAACTACATAATAAAACATTTTCAGGGAACACAAAATGCACACTCCCACACATCTTCTTACCTAGATGTTCAATGATGCTGGAAACTTTCCCAAAAGGCATCAGTTTAACAGATTCAGGAAGAATTATCATTACGTCTTCAACAGAAAGTGGCTCCTGCTGAATAAATAATTTTAAAAATCATTTGCATACTAAGGCCCACATCCAATTTTCCCAATCTATGTAACTTAATTAACACTCACTACAAGCTATAACTATTTTCTTACTGATATTAATGATGTATTCTGACAAGCAATATGCTAAAGATAACCACAAATACACAAAAAAAATACTTGGAGAGTCTCTTCAGTTCTCCAGAACTAGAAAATGCTATATTTGTGCACTTTGAAAATTGGCCCAAACCACTTCAATCCTCTGAAAATTGGCCAAAATTGGCCAAAATGAGTAGTTGAAGTAACTAAGCAATCTGATCCTTTTTTCTTTTTGAAATACATTTGTATAATATGGATGCATCACATGGTTTAACACTTGTAAGGTAACAAAAATAACAAGGGAAAGGAAAAAAGAAATAAGAACTTGAAAGTAAATGTATCTTTGTAGCCCGTCTTTCTTCCATTCCTTGTGTACATGACCAAAAGACAAACTATTAAAACTTTTTTCTGTGAAAGATTTCACATCAATTAGATACATATAATATAGCACAACGTATGATGAAACTGAATAAAATTTCTATTCTATAAGTAATTCCACTTCATCAAAACAGCAATTCTCAAGGAAGAAATAGATATTTATAAGGGGAATGAGTAAGCACAACCTAATATTTTTCCTTTTTGTCCCTGTTACGTTATATTTAATTTACCAATTCAACTTCGCAAATACCTACCCCAAAGATTGTTTGCAACTGTTTTCCCTGCCACAATCTAAGCTAATGAATAAGAATATCTGATTGGAAAAGAGTCTGCTACAAACATTTATACGAACGATCAAAGAAATAAAGTATCTCAATTTCCACAATATACTTCTATCTGTTGTCCCCTCAAATTCATTATTTTGCTAAATGTATCTTGGTGATAATTTTTCCTAGGTAACACCCAACTGTGTTTTATAACAGTAAAGACACTTACTTTAGTCAATTCGCTTTTTTTAGTAGCAGAAGAATTATTTTCATTTTTATCTTGTTGATCATCACCATCAGACAACAATGGAGGAGAGGAAAGAGAAGATGAACTGTCTGCATCAGTATCACTGCAAAGGGAGATACTATTTTTCAACATATATTCTGCCACATTAATTTAAAAAAGTATTAGCAATGATCACAAGGCCTGACTTTGACCAAAATCTCCCTTTTAGTAATAAGTCACAATATGCATCAAGGATTTGTGTCAGGTGTGGTGAATGTTATGTAGTAGCTATTAAGAAAAAAAGAAAACCTTTCTATTTTGCATAACAACCCACAGTACTGCAGAACTGGAAAAGGGCAATTTTTATAGTTCTTTGTTAACTGTCAAGTTTAAAGCTATTAGGGCAGTGGTTCTCAACCTGTGGGTCGGGACCCCATTTGGGGTTGATCGACCATTTCATGGGGGTCGCCAAGCAAGGCTGTCCGCCATTTTTTTTGTCCACCATTTTTTTTATCCGCCATTTTTTCCCCTTTTCTGGCGGGTGCCTTACCTCCCTTGGGCTGGGCCAGCTGGTGGTCGGCCTGCTCTGTCTCTGCCGCTTGCCAGCTACGCCTCGGCCGGCGCAGGGGGCGGAACCACGCATGTGCGGTGCTCCCAGGCAGGGAAAGTCCTCGACTTACGACCGGTTGGGTAGTCCTCGACTTACGACCGGTTTAGTCCTCGACTTACGACCGGTTTAGTCCTCAACTTACGACCGGTTTAGTCCTCAACTTACGACCGGTTGGGGTCACGGCATTAAAAGGGTTGAGAACCACTGTATTAGGGTTACTTCTTTGGTCTCACAGCTTTATAAAAAGGGCAGGTCTCAATATTAATGCATCATTTTCCTTATTACTTACCTAAGCTGGCTGGCATTATTACTGCAATAATTACAGATGTGTACATCACCTAGCTTCCTCTGCCTAAACCAGACTAAGAAATAAAATGTGAAGAACATTAAAAAAAAAAAAGGGAATGCCCCCGACTCACCTGTCCGATTCCAAGGTACCACCACCCTTCGTTGACCCTGCTCCCTTCTCACGCCGTAGCGCCGCCGGATTCTCTTTCGAGAGCGCATCTTCGACCCCGACCGCCGCCGTTTGGCGACTGAGTCCTCCGTTCTGTTCGCTGTGGCCACCCTGGAAAGCAGAGGAGGAGGACTGAGGGTCCACCTTCACTTCCTCGGACGGTGGGCGGTCGTCTTCCTTTTCCGATGCTGCCGCCACAGCCTGCGGGGCTTCGACTGGCGGGCAAGCCTGCTCACCACTCATCCCGGGAGAGGTCCGGCCGTTGCCGTTGCCGTCCCCAAGAGCTGCCGGCTTCTCTTCAGCAGCAGGGCTTCCCTTCAGGCCGACCCAAGGAGGCTCTGGCTCCCGTGGAAGCCCCGAGGGCTTTGCCGGGGCTTTTCCACAGAGGCGCTCCGGGGAAAGCGGGACTTGCTCGTCGCCCTCCTTCAAAGCGGGGCCCCGGGGGGCCGCCGCCGTTGCATCGGAGCTTCCCTCGCAGGCGACCCTCAGCGTCTGCAACTGCTCCGCAACCGTCGAGCCTGCAAAGCCGGAATCGTCCATCGGCACAGCCGAAGACGCGTCCATGACCGATCCACGTGCGGCTGCCCGAACGGATGACAACAAGTGATGGCGCGCTATACTGACGCCACTTCCGGGGCGGTTCCTTCCAAGGGAGCGATATGCGCAGGTGAGGTGCGCGTGAGCGGATAGGTTCGCCGTAATGGCTGGGGCTGAGCAGCAGATGCGATATAAAGAATGGAAGGCTCGTAGCTGCTTGGGGGGTGGGGGTGGGGTTAGAGCAGGGGTAGTCAACCTTGGCTCTTTTATGACTCGTGGACTTCAACTCCCAGAATTCCTGAGCCAGCACAGCTGGCTCAGGAATTCTGGGAATTGAAGTCCACGAGTCATAAAAGAGCCAAGGTTGACTACCCCTGGGTTAAAGTATGAGAGTCTGTGTTGCGTTCGTCTTCATTTAGCTCGGCTGCCAATGATAGATTCTATAGTACACCGCCAGTCTCGAATAATGTCGTTATCTGCCCACTCCCCACAAGAACACATTTATCGATCCTCTTGTTTTTACACAAGCATTTTGACACTGCAGAATCCTTCACACGCAAACAAGCAATTATGAGTTGCCCCATTGACGCCCGTTTAAGAAGCATAGCTATAGATAGGAGTGAAGGCTTGAGGAGGACGATCACTTGACTATGAGCCAGTAATGTGCGGTAGCAGCCCAAAAAAATCTAATACAATCCTGGGTTGTATAAACAGGCATAGAATCAAGATCACATGAAGTATTAGCAGTATTTTTTTTTTGTAAAAACAAAAGGTGCCGGAACTCACACATGTCATACAACCCGCCTTGCCTACCCTACAAAGTTCCATCCAAAAAAGGTGCCAGAACTCCGTTCTGGGCGTTCTATGACAAAAAAAGCCCTGAGTATTAGTACCATTATAAAACCCTAGTAAGACCACACCTGGAATATTGCAGCCAATTTTGGTCACCATATCACAAAAAAGAGGTTGAAAGTTTGGAAAAAATTCATAGAAAAGCAACTAAGATGATCCAAGGCCTGGAGACTAAAACATACGAAGAACAGCTGCAGGACTTGGGTTTGGATAGCAGTATTCCAGTATTTGAGAGGCTGCCACAAATAAGGGGGGTCAAATTATTCTCTAAAACACCCGAGGGCAGGACAAGAAACAATGGTTGGAAACTGATCAAAGAGAAAAGCAACCTGGAATTAAGGAGAAAGTTCCATTCCATTTTATTTCTATTGCTATTATTTCTATTGCTATTCTTATCCAAACAGAATTCTTGTAAGTCCTGACATTTTTGAAGAAGTCATGAATATAACTAGAAGCAATACAGATTAAACAGCTTCAATAAAAATGCTGACAAAGTTCATGGCACGTGCTAATGTTGCAGAAAGAACCGGCAAAATAAATGTTTTGCACCATGATATGATTTTAGCTTGGGGCCACAGCTCTTTGCAAAGACTATCTGATATTTGTGGCAAGAATGCTTTAACTGAACTGTTAAATATTTTAGTGACTAGGAGAATTAAGGTGCCTTTCATTGGCACCATCTTAAATTTCACACACACTAGATCTGAGATATCTGCTTTGCAGAGTCCACTCAGATGCACCATGGTACTGTGGTCTGGCATCTAGATATGAAGGCTACATTGAAAAGGACTCCGGTAATTTGAAAAGGCTGAAGGGTGCACAAAGTAACAGCAGTTGATTTAATCAACCCAGCCTCTGCAACCAGATTTACCTTTGGATGCCAGTAAGTGATTGTTCTGTTCCTTGAACTAGATATATATCCATCTGTGGGTCTTTTAGAATTCACCTTGAACTTCATGGTCTGGTGATTAAGAAACCTAATGAGGTAGTCCATGAAGTACAAAATATTTAGTCAGCCTGTAAGACAGGGCTTTTCAACCAATGGTACGCATACCACCAGTGGTACATTGACACCTGGCAGGTGGTATGTGACCCTGCCTAGCCTAGACGAGTGTAGCGGGGAGGAAGAATAAGCTAAAGTGGTGCAGCACAGGACTTGCTGTGAGACAGTCATCAGGAGATGCTGGAGTGAGAGAAAGGCCCCAAGATTGGCACTTCAGGCACACCTGGAAGAGAAAGGAGGAGGAGGGTGGAGACAGGAGAGGATATAAAAGGGGGCAGTTTGGCAGGAGAGGGAGAGGGGGAAAAAAGATGCAGCCTTGGGAAGAGGGGTCAGCTGGACCTGCACCGAAGATAAAAGAATGGGGGGAAGAGGAGAGGATATAAAACAGGCCAGCTGGTAGCCGATCTACAACTTTGTGGCAGCCATCTGAGCCGGGTGCACACACAAGTGGCAGTGAAAAATGGAAAAAACGCAGCTGGGGAGGGATCACCCTCCACGAGGAATGAAGAAAGGCAGCATCGGCTGGAGGTGACCAGCAATTGGCCCTCACCCACTTCACACACATCCGGCTCTGTGGACTCTGGGGGAGGGGACTCCGCAAGTGACATGACTGTCCACATTATCTGTGTGATGCCCCCCAGCCTGGGATATTTAAGGGATTTCAATTGATCTTGATAAAAAATTGTTACTTCTCAAAATAGGATTTCTATTGGAAGCAGCAAAGGAACTGCTCCCTTTTCATCTTCTGAAACAGTAGAAGCCTAATTTACACGGGTGACTTTTCTTGCATGTGACTTAGGGTAGAACCCAGGTATGAATTTAATGAAAGAATGTTTAATGACATGTCATAATAATTTTTACTTTTTTCATTTTCTGTCTTTGAAAACATAGAACTAAGAACTCATAGAACTAAGAAGAAATTTCCTGACACCAAGAACAATTAATCAGTGAAATGGCTTGCCTTCAGATGTTGTGGGTGCTCCGTCACTAGAAGTTTTTAAAAAGACATTGGACACCCATTTATTCAGAACAGTATAGGCTCTCCTGCTTGAGTTCAGACTTGGACCAGAAGATCTCCAAGGTCCATTCCAACTTTGTTATTCTGTATTCTGTATATCAGTATTGCAGCCCTCTGACTAATGAACTAAGCCTCATGTGGCACTTGGGCAATTGCAAATTGAATTCCCTATTACGAGGAAGAAAAGGCCAGGTTGTTCATGAGTTAGCTTTTTTGAATAAAGTGTCACAGAGGTAGGAAAAAATTAACATTCTCCAGTTGGGTTAGTTTTGTACAAAGCTTAAAACCATCAGTACAACATACTATATAACCAGTGATGCCCTGGTTAAGTGACGCTCACAATAAAAAGTCACATCATCAGCTGAGATGACTAATGTCCTGGCCTAAATGCCTGTGGGACCATGTGAATCTCAGTGAGATGCTGTTCCACAGGATAGGTGCAACCACAGAAATGGCAGGATCCAACAGAGTGGCATTGTTTGATGGAAGACACTCTGAGCAGGTCCTCTCTGCTAGACCTAGTTTAGATGTAATACATACTAGGTATATTATAAATATAGTATATTACATCGGGCATGTCAAACTCGCGACGTCATGCGACGTCGCGCAACGTATTGGGCCAGTTTTGCCATTGCTAGTGGGTGCGGCTTCCACGTGACACATCTGGCCCGTGGGCCGGCAGTTTGACACCCCTGTATTACATTATATTATTTCATTGATATTTGGAAAGTTAAATTATAAAAAAGGTTTGCTGTACTTTCCAGATGTTCATTTATCTTTTTACCCTTCTCATATATATTTTAGGAAACCCAGAAAAACAATCTACTGATGGTGATTTAAGGGGAGGGAGGGTGATTGGCTTCAGAATCTAAATATGAGCTCATAAATAGTTTTACATGGAAGACTAAAGCATTTAAAATTTCTCATGTCAGAAATCTTCAGCCCTAGATTCTTAAAATAACTCATTTCGTTCTTGACAATAGAAAAGCCCAAGCTGTGGTTGTCTATTCATTTACTAAAACAAAATAATGGTTCTAAAGGACAGTGCTCAATGTTTAAAGGTAAAGGCACTAATAGAGCAACATACATTTTCAGTAAAAATTAAAACAAAATTATATTTAATTCATTAATTATTTCATAAATGTTTCCAATTCTTTAACAGATTAAATGTAATACACATTTTCTCATATAGATCTTTATGAATTGCATAATGAACTTTATAATGAATTAATTTATATGAAATATAGACTATATTAAGTGGGTACATTACTGTTTAATATTCACACTAATGCTGTTAAATGCAGTACTTGAGCAGGCTGTAACCTTAATTATTTATGTAGTTTAACTGCCACTTTCAATAAGCTTCTATTATCAAAATATGTCAAGGTTAATATTAAATAATCTAAAATTGTTAAAATATGCATTTCTCTCATTTTGCTTCCAAAAATACATTTTATTCTTTTATTTGTTAAACAAAAAGGAAAGGAAGTCACTGTGAAGCTTGATAAATACTAAAATCCATATTATGACAATTTAGAAATCACCAAATTGTATAGGTTTTTGAAAATTTCAGGATTATATAAAGATACATTTTATCCTATCATTGAAAATTATATTTTTCTACAATGCTTATAGAATTATAAACATTAAGCTTGTTTAGATATGGTTTCTAGATCTATGTTCTTTAATTATTCATATTTTAGTTGGCAGATTTTTATGATGCCAATGAATCCCATCTTGTGAAAGGTGTTTTGGAGACTTACACTGAGGACCTGATGAGCTAATCATCCCTGAAGGAGTGGGGATGTCATTACAATATAAGTTAGCAGCGAGAAGCTGGATTCTGACCACCAAAATTTGTCCAGAACAAGGAAAGATCATCCACATGTACTCTGGATTTCTTTTCTGAAGTATTCTGCAGGATCCAATTTGTTTGTGGTCAGTTGGTGAATTGAACAGTTAGTAGTGGATTCCATCTAAGCTCACTGTTGTAATATAGCCTATATGGAAATAATGTTACTTTTGGAATCACCTTTTTATTGCTTTTCAAATATTAAGAACCTTTGGAAGAGTAATTTTATTCTGTTTTAAGATTGCAATACAGAAACATGGACATAGTCTGAAGGTGTAGCAGATAACTGCAGACAGAAATAT